TAAAACTGTTTTTGATATGAGCAGTAGGTAAGTCTGTGTGTTTAAATATTGTGTAATATATCCACACTAATAAAACTTTGAAAATATCGCTTCGAATGTATCCGGAAATCTTTAAAAGGGATTAAAAATCCAGATAACAACATTTTTATAGCTCATTTTAAATTGTATAAGTATGAATACTAATCATACTTAAACATTTTGTTTCCTGTATATAACTATGAACATAGGCATTTATATTTATATAAATACTTCTGAATCTGTGGTTAAAATTTCTAATAGTATATTATCTGTAGCCTAATAACAACACTTGGTAAGAATTTATCTCAAACTCTGTCTAAATAGATAACATTTTCTGCAAAATACGAAATATTTGTAAGATAAATATAAAATTCTTGCATTGTTCGTTATCACCAAATTCTTTACTCGTGATCCATCGTTAGAAGATATTGTTGGAATTTGGCACAGATGCCTGTAATAAAATTTAGCAATCTAAATATTATTTTTTTTAATTTTTAAATAATAATAATTAAAAGAGGAAAAATAGATTTTTTCTTATAATAGATAAACTAATTAATAACATAACAGATTTTTAAAAAAAATATTTCACCTATAGGAAACTACAGTTATCAGCGAGTAATATGGGCTCTATTATTTTATCAAAAAAAAAAATAGCAATTATATATTTTTTACTACCTATTCACTTGTGCGAAGTCGGGGTATTATATTATTATAGTCCCCAAAAGAGAGAAAGAGAGAGAAGGTTTTTAATTTACCTATATTTTGTATACATTTTGCGCTATATTAAACAATATCAGAGCCGATTTTAATAATTTTTTTAAATATATGACTAGATTGTGTTTACTGTGCGGGATAAAAAGTCTATATCCTTCTCCATCATATAGTACGAGCACAATAAATTTCATAGTGTTTGGTTAAACAGCTGTGTTTCTCGCTCGTTTTTCTCAGCTGAATTGGATTCTAAACTGGATAGTAGAATCATAAAAAAATAAACAATCAAAAATGTTTATTTACTTTACTTGAAGAAAATATATTTCTATTTATTTTATTTTTAAAAACTATTAAGGTGCTATAAGATAACAAACAAATAATCTCACTTTCACATTTATAATATTAGTACGTATAAAGGTACAGACATGCGAAACTTTTATTTAGTTTCCGTTTATTGTATTTATAAATTTCACAACTAAACATCAACAACTCCTTTCCAATTTTAAACACAATGAAGTGTAATATAAATAGGTACCTACTTAATAGTTAATCCAAATTTTATGCCAAAATGTTTATAAGGTAATCTGTTGAAATTTAAATTAAAAAATACTTAATTACTCACTACTAGAAACTTGATTTATAGTGTTTACTCAGACTGGTCGTAATAAAATAAATGTTTAAATAGATTTTGATAGGTAATAAAAGTTGCTAATGTTAATGCTATTTTGTCCCGGCAGTGAGACGTTGATAGATTTTTTTTTAATGAATGATAATGGAATAATAACCCCGCCTGAAATAACAGAGCATACTGTATCGCCCATGATACCCCCCATGCGTTGTCATTCCTGAGGACTCAGGTGTTATTCCTCTGTACCCTGTAAATTCACGCCATTTCGGTATGAAGGGTAGGACCTTCATACCGAAACACAGCCATGCAAACACAACTGCTTAGTGTTACGCATTTACAGTCTTTTAAAATAGTAAGAATTTTTTTAATATTTTTTTTATACAACTTAGAATGGCAAACATGCTGACGGCCCACCTGATGGAAAGTGGTAACCGTCGCCTATAGACATGATCAGTACCATGGACATAACAGAGTATACTGTTTCGCCCATGATACCCCCCATGCGTTGCCATTCCTGATGACTCAGGTGTTATTCCTCTGAACCCTGCAAATTCACGCCATATCCCACCCTTCAAACCGAAACACAGCCATGCAAACACAACTGCTTAGTGTTACGCATTTACAGTATTTTAAAAAAATAAGAATGTTTTTTAAAAGTTATTATGTACTATATACATATGTATATGTTAAAGATACTTATTATATTTTTTTAATGGATGATAATGGAATTGTTACTCCGGTTATCGGTATACACTGACGGGCCACCAGTGAGGGATGATAGATGATGAAGCAGGTGAGTTGACTTATCGTGGTGAATTCAACAATAACCAATTACGATGGCCTCCAGAGGGAACCCCGTGGAGGTCGTATTTTTAGCAGTAGGATGTCTAATCTCCATTACTAAAAATTGCTTCTCCCCCCTATGGTTATTACGCTAAATTTCAACTACAACATGGATGAAGTCACGGTTTCAACTAGTCCACTAATAAGTCAAGAGTCACCGGAACCGGCGTGTATGTGTGAGACGAGTCATGAATGTGGATGAGGCGCGAGAGGTAAGTATATATAAAATATAGAGGACTTTGACTCTCGGTTCCGTTTGCATACTCCTAACATTACAGATATTATACCGTTAGCGCAGATTATGGGGTTACCATCCCATTATCATCCATTAAAAAAAAAACATTACAAATAGATAATAAAAATAAATAAGGTTTTTTTCAGAAAAAAATCCACTTCGACAGTTTTTATATCAAAATCAGTTATTTTGATTTAAAAACTAAACTACTGAATATATATATATATATATATATATATATATATATATAAGAAATTTTATGCGTGATAATTAATTTTCAACCAATTTCAAAAAGGTCGAGTTTTATTTGTAATCTAATATGTTGGGATGCGCCCTTGTAGGAGCCGTACCAAATTGGTCCCGATAGAGGTCTGTTATTAGTTTTGTGTAACACTAACTAAATACCCATTTATACATAAAAATAAATATAATATAATTTTTGTTATCGTTAAGTTGACAAAACTCTGATATTCAGATTTACTAACATTAAACATAATTGTTAAAGAATCGATAATTACTTTTAATTGTCTGTACTAATTGTGATTAAATATTATAAAGGGAAAAGATTTTATGGTTTGTTTGTTTGATAATAAACTCAGAAACTACTTAATCAATTTTAATAATTCTTTTATCTACAGAAAGCTACATTATCAGCGAGTAATATAGGGTATAGTATATTATTTTTGAAAATTCTATTTGACGATCCCCGATCACCTAATATTAATAGAAAAAAATATTATTTTGTAATGAACATATCTTTAACTTGTGTAATAAGTAATCATTGTGCTTATATTATGTACGTATAGTCGTAATTAATGTATAGTTACTAGCACGTAGTTGTATGTTGAAATCGAAACATAAGCAGCCTACATGGTAAACTAGCTGTGTTCCGCGTCTTTGCTTTTATAATAAACTGTATTGTGTATACAGGATATAGTCTATCTGTGTACCGAATTACATTCAAACCCGTTTAGCCCTTGAAGCCTAATTGAGTAATAAATATCAAAATAATAACTAAACTTCACGTTACAATATTGTCTAGATGATTATTAAATAAATAACGAATTTATAATTAAAGATTCACAAAAAAAAAAAGAAAAAAACAGAGATCGATTGTGAAAAAAAAAACCAGTTATTTTGTTTTTAAAACTAAACTATTGAAACAATGTTGATATAATTTCTTTAGAACAAACTATCAGTATATCCTTTCAGATAAAAAAAAAAGAATATTCAAATCGGTTTAGAACTGATGGAGTTATAAAGTAACAAACATAAAAAAATACAATTGAATTGAGAATCTCCTTCTTTTTTTGAAGTCGGTTGAAAAATACGAAGAAAGGATTGTTAGCAATAGAGTTTAGAGTTTCTATTGCTAGCAATATACTTTATCAGATCGACCAATCCCTCCCGCATCCTGGAAATCATCGTATTGAAATCATCAATACTGGCTAATTAATTTACCTTCATCCTCACTTATCATTCACTGATGCCCCGTCAACTTATACCGATAGTACAAGCAGTGGAGTTACCATTCCATTTACCTACATCTTTAAAGAAAAAAAAAAACTAAAAATATGTCGCCAAATCTTAGTCACACTTTAATTTATAAGCAACTTCTGTCGTATTGAGTCAAGGCTAACTATTATATTCAAACGATCTATAATTTTTGGATTTATTTATTACAATGTAGGTAGCTATATATTATATATTATTGTTTGTCAATATTTTTTACCCATCCATAATTCTAACGTACCTATTATGACAGCGTGAGCAGCAAATTTCTAACAAATTTATTATACATAGCCATTTTTAACCGTGTTTTTCTGATCAATAATTGCTTGTAAATTCCCACATTATAGCAACAATGCAAACACTGCCATCGTGTGAAAAATACAACACATCGCTTACGACTTAGGTGTGTTTTTTCCGAAAAAAAAATCACTTATTGGTTATTTATCGATACTAATAATTTGAAACACTTAGGTAAAGAAAAAATAGAAAAGAAAATAATCTAATATATAATAATAAGAAAATAATAAAAATAAATATGTTAAAAACCTATAAATATGTAAAAAAATATATATTGTATTTAATTACACAACAGACATAATATATATAATTAGCGCTATTCCGTGTTTGTTTAGTAAAAAAAAAAAATTAATTATGTCCCTCACACCCTCGGTCATCTGGCGCCAATATTTTTAATAAGGCAAATGGACTCATTGCACTGTAATGAAAATATAGTACGTAAACAAAAATCAATATAAGTGTGTTTTATTGACGTACCTAATTAACTATTTTTTAAATTGCTATTCTTCATACATGTAACATAATCTATGTATCAGACATATTGCTTCATCAATGAGATCACAAACAAGTGATGTGGTTATAAAATTAATTATTATTTCCTGCTATAAAGTTGCAATCAAAGTGCGCATCTACCTATAGCAATGTGCAACGACATTAGCTATACACCAGGCTTCGTCCACCTTTCAAATTATACAAAGCCATCCAGACAAGCTTTAAGCTTTCACCTGAGATAGAAATATAAGACAATATACTTACGAAAACAAAAAAATCCAAAGATGTAATTGATAAAAGATAAAAACACAGCACGGTTTTTTTTAATATAAAAAATTCAACTGTTTCTTTGCCGGCACTGATTGAGCGCGAGAACACGTGCACTATAGTGGCGTTCGAGGAGGACTGAGGTTTGGTCCGGTCGCCCTCTCTAGTGAGGGAAGCGGGGCTAAGCGCTCCTCTACCAAGGATATTGTTACGAGTGTAAATCACTTACTTTACATATTCATTGCTGGCTTACTAATGAAAATTATTAAAAATAGACTAAAATTATAATTGATTTTCCTGATCAGGACCTACTTATAAGTAGTAACCTATGGTAATAGTATGTGGTATTATGATATAATATAAAAAAATAAAAGACTTATTTTTATGTTCCATAATATCTCTTGTTAGAAGTAGGTTTAAGTGTGACATCTAAGTTTATTTAGATGTTAAAAGCCTAATATATTGTAGAATATTTGTAATGTAAGATACAAGGTATCATACACTGGTATTATTTATAACAGCATGAATAGAATTTGATTTTGTCGCAAACTATCGTCCAGAACATAGCCAGTAATGTAATGCGTGCTATTACGAAACATCGACGGTTCATAATATATGACTAATAGGTAATAGAGGCTTACAGTGAGGTCGCCGACACGTCTGTTTCGGCTTATATTCGAACCGAGCGAGCGGGATCCGCTCTGCTTGCATCTCGAATACTTTTCCCGATTCGATCACTTTCAGGGGCGCGATTTGATATCAATGCGTTTTCTCCACTGCAACGATATCGATTTTAGACCGATAAAATAAGTGTAGCGGTGGCAAATTTGCTCTCAATCGCAGAACGAATTGAAATGAAAATAGTAAAATGTATGATAAGAATAACATAGAGGTAAACAAATAAATTTTAGAGTAATTTGTAACAAACTTTTTAAGACTAAGGAAAGCGTAAGTGAGCTATTGAGGTCTAAATATCTATATTTCTTTTATAATTTGATTATATTTGGCGATATCCAATATTGCAATAATATAATTCTCAAGGTTGACTGGAAGAAATCCAGTTAAGGGATAAGTCTGCCCATGTACATTTTTGTTATAACCCAATATTTATACTACAAATGATGTACAAAAGCATATAAATAAATTAATAATTATATAATTTTAATTCTCGATATTGCCAAATATAATGAAATTATTAAAGAAATAATATATATATATATATATATATATATATATATATATATATATTACTTAGATTATATACATAGGGCATCTAGTATCAAAAACGAGTCAACTTTTTGTCAGCTAATTGTCAAATTAGCTGACTCGATTTTTTATCAGTGTTCTATTAACTTACGCTTATAATATATCTTGACATATTATTTAATAAATAAAATGAGTATTTACGCACTAAAATGATACAAAAATTATAAGGCAAAATATAGCGGTTATAAAAGAATCACTCGTAACTATTTATCGCGCAAAATTATATGAAAAAGTTGAGCCGCTTTTCTCGAAGCATTTGTATGGAGACACTCTATCTATATAATCTAAGACATATTAATAATAATATAAGATCGATATGTACTGTTAAAGTTGCCTTTAATAGAAATCAATTTCCTGTTTTTTTTTTTACAATACGAGGATATCTAATTTGAACCATAGAACATTTACGTAAGAATCATTATTCTAAGTAATTTGTGCACATTGTCCATTATAAGATATTAAAAACTAACGAATTACATCATACTTTAAAGTAGTTCTTAAATATATCCAGGTACTCAATTTAGTAATTAGCAGAGTAAATAATCCTTGTAAATCTTATACCTAGGTAGACTTGTAGTCTATACTTTACTAATTATAGATAACAAACTAAAATGTCAATTTGAATAGATAATTACCAGAGGGAGACTTTGTACAAAAGTCGTTTGCTTGGGCACCTCTGTTCGTGTTTCTACCGTGAAGCAGTTGTGTTTATTATGGCTGTGTTTCGGTTTGAGGGGTGGGATATGGCGTGAATTTACTGGGTACAGAGGAATAACACCTGAGTCCTCAGAAATGGCAACGCATGGGGGCTATCATGGGCGAAACAGTATACTCTGTTATGTGCATGGTACTGCTCATGACTATAGGCGACGGTTACCACTTTTCAACAAGTGGGCCGTCAGATTGTTTGCCATTCTAAGTTGCATAAAGATAAACTTTGAGAATAGACGGAATTTGCTGAGTATTTATCCTAAACTGCTTGCATAGATATTATTTGTATCCACACTTACTGCATAGAAATTATAACAAACATAGACAATTTATTATTTTAGCCCTTACCATCAGGTGGGCCGTCAGATTATTTGCCATTGTAAGTTACATAAAAAAACATGGTTTAGCTGTAACCTTAACCTAACCTGTAACGAGAGATACCTACCTGAATGTTTCTTATCATGAACAATTTAGACAATGTATATTAGGTTAAAATAGGTTAAAATAATTAGGTAAATTAGGTTTTAAGGTCTCAACGGATGAAATGAATGAAATTCGGCGCATAAATGTATCATATCTACTCGTACTGTATTAACACAATACACTTTATTATAAAAGCAAAGACGTGGAACACAGCTAGTTTACCATGTAGGCTGCTTATGTTTCGATTTCAACATACAACTACGTGCTAGTAACTATACATTAATTACGACTATACGTACATAATATAAGCACAATGATTACTTATTACACAAGTTAAAGATATGTTCATTACAAAATAATATTATTTCTGTTAATATTAAGCGATCGGGGCCCAGCATCGTCAAAGAGAATTTTCAAAAATAATATACTATACCCTATATTAGTCGCTGATAATGTAGCTTTCTGTAGATAAAAGAATTATTAAAATTGATTAAGTAGTTTCCGAGTTTATCAACAAACAAACAAACCATAAAATCTTTTCCCTTTATAATATTTAATCACAATTAGTACAGACGATTAAAAGTAATTATCGGTTCTTTAACAATTATGTTTAATGTTAGTAAATCTGAATATCAGAGTTTTGTCAACTTAACGATAACAATAATTATATTATATTTATTTTAATGTATAAGTGGGTATTTAGTTAGTGTTACACAAAACTAATAACAGACCTCTATCGAGACCAATTTGGTACGGCTCCTACAAGGGCGCATCCCAACATATTAAATCACAAATAAAACTCGACCTTTTTGAAATTGGTTAAAAATTAATTAGGACACTAAAAATTTCTTTATATTTTAAGCAACTTCATAAAGAAAGAGGTTCTCAATTCGGTTGTATACTAGACTAACCAGAGGGATGCTTTGAACAAAAGTCGTTTGCTTGGGCACCTCTGTCCCATTCGTGTTTCTACCGTGAAGCAGTTATGTTTGCATGGCTGTGTTTCAGTTTAAATTGGGATATGGCAGTAAATTAACAGGATACAGAGGAATAACACCTGAGTCCTCAGGAATGGCAACGCATGGGGGGTATCATGGGCGAAACAGTATACTCTGTTATGTCCACGGTACTGAACATGTCTATAGGCAACGGTTACCATTTTCCATCAGGTGGGCCGATCAAGTTGTCTAAATAATGAGACATAGCCAGATATGTGCCAATAACAGTTTAGATATGACAGCTGAGATGGGTACTATGTTTGATAGAAAGGGCTTAACTTTATTCTCTCTCAGGAAAATAGCGACGAGAAGTAGGTACTTTCTATAAGCAAAACAGTAAGTAAGTACAAAGGTTAACTAACCTCTAATCTACCTACATTATTGATATACGTAGTGTGTATTTCTTATGTATTTTTAGTATTAAAAAGTTATGATTAAATAAATTATTTCATTATTAAAAGTACAGTGTTAATTCGGACTGTAAATTACTAATTAATTCATTTAAATTTGTTTACGTACAAACGTATAGTTTTATTATACGCACCACCCACGATTTGACGCCAAAACTCTGAAAACTCTATTGTAAAATATAGCAGAGAGAAATGGCTTCACGTCACATCGTACCCCAAACAAAAGACCATAGACTGAGGACGTGATCAACAATACGGTATGAATTGAGAATGCCTGTAATTGTTTTTCGTCTGCGTGATTTGGGCCCCCGTTACACCATTCAAACGGTTGACATCAGAATGGCGTCGTTTTGTTTAAAGTCCACTGAGACGAGAGCTGCCCGCTTCGTGTTGAAATATGAAATCATAGCTCAAGGACATTTGTCATGAGCTGAATGCATAGAACGTGGGTTTGACACACAGACGATGGTGGCTTTATCTTATCAAATGAACATATAGAACAATACAAATAGAAAACAACAAACAACAATGTCACTTCTTTCTAGAACTATTGTTGTATTTAACTATATATAATTTCTTAAAAATAATATATATATTTTTTTATAATAGAAGAGTCAAACGAGCATTCGCCTCACCTAATGGTAAGTAACTATAGTCCTCCATAAGCACTTGCAACACCGGAGGAATTGCAAGTGTGTTGAATATTTAATATAAGGGAGCACTAATATGAACTATATTGCTATATAGATTTGAGTCAAAATTATTATAAACTTTCTTTAAACCATAAAATAATAAGTACTTCTGGTCTTGACATAGAATGAGCCAACCTTCATTAATGGTCGATAGAAGAACAGCAGCGTCCCTCTTAAACCATCACCAAAGCTAATCGGTAATTTGATCCACAAAAAATAAGTACTTTCGGGAAACTATTAAATTAAAATATTTATTTTATGTTAAAGATAAGGTTAGAGGAATGGCATCTCAGAGTTGACTCCGTTTTCGGCAACCTATTTAGTCTAATTTTTTCTACTCTCTAGGGTCATGGATTAGTATTAGGTGACCCATCTGATTAAAAGTGGTAACTGTCGTTTATTAATGTGAATTTTATTAGACATTATAAAATGAACTCTGGTATCAATGATATTTCATGTCACCATTGTGGACTATGGTGTTTTGTCTTTCAAGTTTACACATCTCACTGTTGGAAATATATAATCAGGTATATAGGTTTTTTTTTAATGGATGATAATGGAATGGTAACCCCACCCGCGCTATCGGTATACACCGGCGGGGTCCTCTCACAGACTGTGGGTAAAGCGGAGACGATCGCACCAGACGTGAAAATTGTTCCTTCATAAAATTAATCACGTTTTTAGAGCTCAGACTGAAAAATAGTCAACTAAATAATGTATTTTTTCTTTGTATTCAAAAATATCGGAAGCTAACTTCCGCCAAGGCAATGCCGGAACAGTATGCTGTAGCAGCGGCTGGCGCCGAGGACGAGGCGCGTGCAGCGCGCACGCCGCGCAGCCCCGCACCGCGCGCTCCACGTCCTCACTCATGCCCGGCCAAAGATGATAGGTGAGAATAAAGCAGGTCAGTTAGCCCATCGTGACGAATTCAACAAGAATTGTTTACGATGGTTTCCAGGGGGAACCACGTGGAGGTCGACGTAATAAAGCATATTGCTAGCAATGGGGCTGTCAAACTCCATTCCTAACAATCCCTTTTCCCTCAGGTGTATAGATCAGCAATAGGATGTGTCTAACACGATATCCATTAGCCATCGTGATTCATTTCCAATGATTTTGATGTAAAATTTGATGTGGCCCATTGATTTTTTTTTATTCTCAATCATAAGTATAATTTCCTCACAGCATAAACTAATAGTTCAGACTGACTCACCATTCTATTTTCATCCCTAAAGATAAAATTCACATAAGTAGCTATATCCACTGTATGGTCTTGACATAGAATGAGCCAACCTTCATTTCTGACTAAGGGAACTTAATGGTCGATAGAAGAACAGCAGCGTCCCTCTTAATGTTGCCTAATTTCTGAACAGCACTCTAAACCATCCAGAAACCACACCGTGCATCTAAAACACTGAACTGAACATCACCAAAGCCTAACTGTGGTTGCCAGCCCGCTGGCCAAGTTTAGCAACTACTGGCAAAATGGTGGAGGCCTATATTCACCAGTGGAGTAGTATATATCAATTAATGGCTGATATAATATGGTATACCTATATCATGGTAGGTATATACCAGAGAGAGACTTTGTACAAAAGTCGATTGCTTGGGTACCTCTGTTCCATTCGTGTTTCTACCGTGAAGCAGTTGTGTTTGCATGGGGGTATCATGGGCGAAACAGTATACTCTGTTATGTCCATGGTACTGCTCATGTCTATAGGCGACGGTTACCACTTTCCATCAGGTGGGCCGTCAGCTTGTTTGCAATTCTAAGTTGTATAAAAAAGAAAGTATATATCATGTACGCAAAATGATCCACAAAGTCTAACTAAGGTCCAATAGACCTTTATTATTCGATTACAATAAATGATGTCGGTATACCCTTGATGAAAATCGTCCCAATCAATAAAATTACTGTACAGGGGCGATGCACGCCGTAATTGACGGGTTACCCTAACTCGATTACGATTGACTGAGCCCCTTCACTGCCAGAATGTAAAAATGTATTAGGTGCTTTTGTAAATAAACAGCGACAAAGGGAGCCACACATGAAACTCTGATGTTTTATAGTTGTACAGCTCGATGGTATTTTAATGGACATTTGACATGGCTCATACGTATAAACAAAATTTTAAGAATTCATTCATTGTACTGGAGGATCTTGAATAAACAACTAGGATTTGTAGATTTTCGGAACCACTTTTTGTTTTAATTGTTTGAAAAAAGAAGAGTTTTTTTAATGAAATAGGATTAACTAACTCACATAATATAAATATTTTTTGTCGTATATATTTTTATATTATATTAACAAATGTTGATAACATTACTAATATAAATATAAAAGTGAGTTTGTTTGTTACATTATAGCGCCTTAGCGGCTTAACTAAACGTATGTTTTACGTATTAAATGATTTTTTTAATGGGTGATAATGAAATGGTAACCTCGCCTGCGCTATCGAAATACGTCGGCGGGGCACCAGTGAGGGATGATAGGTGAGCATGAAAGCAGGTCAGTTAGCCCATCGTGGCGAATTCCACTAAAATTAACCACGATGGTTTCGAGGGGGAACCACGTGGAGGTCGACCTGATAGGGTGTATTGTTAGAAATGGGTCAGTTATGTCCCATTACTAACGATCTCTTTCCCGGCTACTAAATGGGTTGAAGAAGGATTTTTTTATACAACTTAGAATGGCAAACAAGCTGACGGCCCACCTGATGGAAAGTGGTAGCCGTCGCCTATAGACATGAGCAGTACCATGGGCATAACAGAGTATACTGTTTCACCCATGATACCCCCATGCGTTGCCTTTTCTGAGGACTCAGGTGTTATTCCTCCGTACTCAGTAAATTCACGCCATATCTCACCCTTCAAACCGAAACACAACCATGCAAACACAACTGCTTTACGGTTGAAACACGAATGAAACAGAAGTACCCAAGCAATCGACTTTTATTACTTTTTATCCCGGTCAGAAAAAATATCCCGGTCACGTGGGAGAAGTCGTGAGAAATAGTTAGTACTATTATAAATATGATATCATTAATATTATACATATAAAAGTTTATATAAAGATATTAGCAGGCTTTATATACTCGTTACTCAATAACGGCTAAACGGCAGGAAGGATATGAATAAAATGTATTACACAGATTGTTTATGGTATATATAGCCTACTTTATGTATAGTACTTACACTTTTTATAAAACTAATTTATAACTTTAGCGGCTTTGCACGAGTTAACCAAAGTAAGACAATACTTTGGTTAACTCGTGCAAAGCCGCAGAATACAGCTGTCTAGAGATTTTAGATTATATAGATAGTGTCCCCATATGAATACTTTGAGAAAAGGGAGTCAACTTTTTTATACAATTTTTCATTTATAACTTCTATATTTATTTTATTTTATAATTATTGCATCTTTTAATGCGTAAAACTTGGGGGGAAAGGGATTGTTAGCAATGGAGTTTGACAGCCCCATTGCAAGCAATATGCCTTATTAGGTCGACCTCCACGTGGTTCCCCCTGGCAACCATCGAGAACAATTCTTGTTGAATTCGTCACGATAGGCTAACTGACCTACTTCATCCTCACTTATCATCCTTCACTGGTGCCCCGTCGGTGTATACCAATAGCACGGGTGGCGTTACCATTCCATTATCATCCATTAAAAAAAAATGCGTAAAACTCATTTTATTTATTAAACAATTAAATATAGATACGTCAAAATCTAGACATAAAAATTTAGAACACTGATAAAAAGACGAGTCAGCTAATTTGAAAATTTGACCTCTTTTTGAGACTCAATGCTCTATCTATATAATCTAAGTTACAGATATATACTTCGCAGTATTTTTCATGAAATCCTGGTACGCTGACGAGGCCATTACGCTATTCGTGGACGTATCTATCTCTTGTCGCCGGATATCTAGGGTGAACCCGAGTGGAATTCATACAAATGTTGACATTTTGCGTTATCACCCCACATTAGTAAAACCGAGACGTTTTGAAGTTACAAAATTGCAACCACTGCATAATGAACTTTATTAAAATACACGGAAGGTCTATATCTAATTTTAGAAAATGTAAAAAATACATTGTCGTAATGCTAGGGATGGTTAAGAAAACAAAGCTGGTTGGAGTGTGTCCCTCGCTCAATAAAATAGCTGGGGCAAAAATAAACATGTAAATTCATCCACTGATAAAATTCATTCTAAGAATACAAATTTTTAAAGGAACCGTAAGCGTTCTTTTTACAATAGTTACCACTTTCTATCAGATGGGCCGTCAGTTTGTTTGCCGTTCTAAGTTCCATAAAAAAAGACCAATTCCTACTCATGAATAGAAATCCTTGTAAATTACGATTTAATACTTATAATACAATAAATACACCATGTAGTTCCTGCCATAGAATAGTCAACCCCGTTCTTTCCCGTGGATGTCGTTAGAGGCGACTAAAAGAACTTATGGTGGTGTAGTTCCCTTAGTCGCCTCTAACGACTAACTAAGTAAGGGGGGGGGGGAAGGGATTGTTAGAAATGGGGAGGTTAGTCCCCATTGCTATCAATATACCCTATCAGGTCGACCTCCACGCGGTTCCCCCTGGAAACTATCGTGACTAATTTATGGTTGAATTTGTTATGATGAGCTAACTGACCTGCCTTTTCATCCTCACCTCTCACTGGTACCCCGCTAATGCAGTGATTCTCAACCACTGTGCCGCGGCATTTTTGTGTGCCGCCAAATTTTAAAAGCGTGCCGCCAAATTTTGCAAATATTTAAAAATTTTGTCATAAACTATTTATGCAGTGTGTTGTAGTAAGTAAATAATTTTTATCTTTTTCTTTGTGTGCCGCCAAATTTTGAAATCGTTAAATATGTGCCGCAACAAAAAAAAAGGTTGAGAATCACTGCTCTAATGTATACCGATAGCGCAGGCGGGGATACCATACCATTTTCACCCATTAAAAAAAACTAAGTAACAAGCAGCAGCGTCCCTTTTAAAACATCTCCAAAAAATCCGCTTGCCAAACGTGGCAACTACTGGCAAAACCCCCCTTATGGGGAAGGCTATGTTGAGCAGTAGAAAACAACTTATAATAATATTGGATGATGAGCAGACTAGGAATGATCGAAAATTGCCTCGTCTTATGACAAGCTCGTGATGAGAAATGGGTGCATTTCTTTCTTTCTTCACAACAATTCAAAGAGTAGGTATCTAAGAAACAAAGAGTAAAGAAATACTTTGTTGAAACATAAAAATATCTTTATTTAGAAATCAAGCGTGATTATACTATATTGTATTAATTTTGGGATTTCCATATTATGCGGATTTAGCGATCACAAAATAAGAAAACTATATACAACGCGTCACCGAAAACAAATGCTTTGTTATGATTTGTATTTCGGCGTGACATACACCGAAACTAATGTTTTCTTTGAAAATAATATAAAACGTCTAAGTAACAACGAACGACGTCATTTGCTGGAAAGTCTTCGGAGATTTGCAGTAATGTCCAGTTTGAAAGTTTCATTTGGTGTTGCACTCGTGTTTCTTGTAAGATTTTCTGTTTGTTATTGCTTCTATATATTTTCAAGTTATTTTACAAATTTTATTTATAGTATAAAATTAATCGTGCACGGGAGAAGGGAGGGGGTTGTGAGTTATGAGTTTTGTATCTGTTGCTAGCAATTTACCATGTCAAATCAATCTCCACGCGGCCACTTCTTGAAATGATCGTAGTTAATTCCAAGTGAATTCGTCACAATAGGCTAACTGACTTGTTTTTATCTTCACTGGTACCTCGCCAGAGAATACCGAAAATGCAGGTGGGATTACTATTTTATTTATATCATTGAAAACAAATAAAATTGGGTGCATTGTGTACGTATTATGCTATGCTTGACTATATTTTGCATAGCATTACACAATAATAAGAAAGGAAAATGATGCTTGCACCTCCACTATGTTATGCTATGCTACATTACATTATCGTCTTTATATATATATTATATAAATTTAGTTTATAATGGATCACTAAAGAAGAATTTCGGGAAAATATCAAATTAAAATGTTAGGTTAAGTTTAGAGATACAGCGCCACAAAATTGACTATAGGTTATGTAGCATTCATTGTTATGCGGATGATAGCACCGGGGATGCCCTTTATACGGGTCGTACCAATGTCTCCCGTTCCATCGTGAAGAACAATCGTGAACAGCTTGTGTCTGAAATCGAGAGAACACTAACTGGAGTCTCTGATTGGGGACGACAAAACTTGGTCCAATTTAACCCCTCTAAGCTTGCGCGTTCACCGCTAAAAAACCCCATTTGCTGTGGCCCCACAGTTCCAAGGCACGTCTCTTAACATCTCTAAAAGCATTGGGATCCTTGGTGTCGACATCTCTAGTGACGTACAGTTCCGTGGCCACCTCGAAGATAAGGTGAAGCTGGCATCCAAAAAACTCGGTGTGCTCAATAGAGCGAAGCATTACTTCACGCCGGATCAGCGATTAATGCTTTACAAATCGCAAATCCGGCCCCATATGGAGTATTGCTGTCACTTATGGGCGGGAGCACCTAGATACCAGCTTGAACCCTTCGACTCAGTGCAACGACGAGCTATGAGAATTGTCGATGATCCCATGCTTGCAAGCGGTATCGAACCCTTAAGTCTTAGGAGAGATTTTGCCTCACTCTGCGTGTTCTACCGCTTATACAACGGATTGTGCTCAGAGGAATTATTCAATATGATGCCTACGGCCACTTTCTATCATCGTACGGCTCGCCATCGGCAGGGAGTTCACCCTCATACCTTACAGCCTAAATGGTCGCGTACAACGCGGTTTCAGAGATGCTTTCTCCCACGAACACTCAGGTTATGGAATGAGCTCCCTGCCGAGGTTTTCCCGAGAGACTACAGTATGGGGTTCTTCAAAAGGGGGTAAAGAGGTTTCTTCAGGGTCGGCAACGCGCGCGTAATACCTCTGGTATTGCAGGCGTTCATAGGCTACGGTAACCGCTTACCATCAGGTGGGCCGTATGCTTGTTTGCCACCTCAGTGGTATAAAAAAAAAATGTAGAACTTATGTTCTTAATTAATTAATTTATTTATTTATTAATTAATTAAAAAATATACCAGAGATATTATTATCTCTGATATATTTTTTAATTAACATAATTCATTTGGTTACATGAATTAGGTAGAAGCCCAATACTCAAATAATCCTTACTAATATTATAAATGTGAATGTGAGATTGATTGTGATGTTATAGCGCCATAATGGTCTAAACTCTAATCAATCACTATGCAAATTGGTATACACGTACCTACTACATGGGATGAAGAAGGATATAGCCTACTTTTTATCCCGGTCAATAAACATATCCCGGTCACAAGAACGAAGTCGCTGGTAAAAGCTAGTAAATAATAATTCAGGTAATAATAAATCCGGCCCCACATGGAGTATTGCTACCTAGTACCTAGATACCAGCTTGATACCAGAGGGAGACTTTGTGTAAAAGTCGTTCGCTTGAGCACCTCTGACCCATTCGTTCGGTTTCGGTATGAAGGGTGGGATATAGCAGTGAATTTACAGAGACATCCTCAGGAATGGTAATGCATAAGCAAAACAGTATACTCTGTCATGTCTATAGGCGACGGTTACCACTATTCATCAAGTGGGCCGTCAGCTTGTTTGCCATTCTAAGTTGCATAAAAAAAAAAGCTTGAACCTTTAACTCAGTGCAAAAAAGGGATATGAGGTTCCTTTAGGATCGGCAACGCGCGCGTAATGCTCCTTGTATTGCAGGCGTTCATAGGCTACGCTAATCGCTTATCATCAGGTAGGTCGTTTGCTTGTTTGCCACCTCAGTGGTATAAAAATAAATATAGATAATAAATAAACTAAATAAATAGTAACTAACACAAATTTTTTTTTCATACAGACGTTATACTTCATTCCAGAAAGCAAAGGTAAGTGAGTAAATAAGTGTCAATCAATTACCAGAAGTCTCCCACTTTATACTAAAGTCGTTTGCTTGGGCACCTCTGTCCCGTTCGTGTTCTATTGTGAAGCAGTTGTGTTTGCATGGCTGTGTTTCGATTTGATGGATGGGATATGGCAATGAATTTACAGGGTACATAGGAATAACACCTGAGTCCTCAGGAATGGCAACGCATGGGGGGTATCATGGGCGAAACAATATGCTCTGTTATGTCGATGGTACTGCTTATGTCTATAGGCGACGGTTACCACTTTCCATCAGGTGGGTCGTTAGCTTGTTTGGTAGGTATTCTAAATTGCATAAATATAATCACACCACTCGCCTGATCTGCAAACTAGGAGAGCTTGTGTTACGAGTCATTAGGCATCTAATATCTGGGAGCACAAGCCAGTACACCCAAACTCGAGTCAATTCAGAAAGTTCGTTGACTGAACTGGCAGACCAATTCAAACCCGCGATCTTATTTATGCAAAGCAACGTGCCCATTATGCTACTACTACGCCACGGAGGTCCTTAATTTGAAAGAACTCTATCCTTCTATTTTAAATTTATATGAAAATAATTATAATACTTGCTGTTTAATTGTTCAATTCATCTGGAAAACATATGAACATAACTTCAATATCAACAGTTTTCTTGTTGATTGATATATCCATTTGTTTACTTTTAACATGCATACGAGTATATGAAGTACTTAGTATTATTATTTCACTTCCAGCGGTCTCCCGCCCCGTATATGACGATGACGGACACGCGCCGGGTGGTTACCAGTTTGGCGACGGCTATATCTTTCAAACACCGACCCCTGTCGACGGTCGACACTCGGTAGATGCCAGTTTAAAATCACTGGCGAGATTGCAGAGTGGAGAAAGACAGGCGTTGAAAGATTTCTTGAAAAGTAAGCACCTATGTTTCTATATAGATAATAAAATGTAGCATCGAGTGATAAAAAGTCGCGCAGCTAAACACTTCAGCTGATTGAATTTGACAAATAGTTTTTTAAGCGAAACTAAGCACGCCATTTTTCAGTATTGCAAGGTAAAATAAAATTACAAATTAGAACCATAAACGAAATAGTATTAACCCTGTGACAGGGCATGTGACGTATTACTGGCCATCATAATACGCCTTTCCGCATCTCGCGATTTCCGCGTGCAGTGTCTACTAGTTTAATTTTACGCATCACGCGATTTCGACGTGCTCGCATTTTTTTATATTTATTGACGTTGTTATTCCGCGATCTTTATTTTGGTATATTGATATTGTTTCTCAGAATCTCGCTAGATGACTAAATATTTGTACTGCTATTTGATTTCAAAGCGATGTTTAATTGGCGTGAAATAAATTTTCGGTCAGAGGGTTAATACCATTATTACTAAATTAACATACGAATACTGGGGGGGGGGGAAGGGATTGTTAGTAATAGAGACTAAGAATCCCATTGCTAGCAATATACCCAACCAGGTCGACCTCCTCGCGGTTTTCCCTGGAAACTATCATGGTTAATTCCTGATGAATTCATCATGATGGGCTAACTGGCCTGTTTTCATTCTCATCTATCACCCTTCATTGGTGCTCCGCCAGCGTATCCCGTTAGCGCAGGCATACCATTTTTACCCATCAAAAAAAAAAAACATACGAATACTAAATTAACCATAAATATTTGTCTTATTCATAAATTTTATATTGTTTATGATCTTATATATTTTTTGTTGCAGTGCTGCAGGCAAGTCTTTGAACAAGAGCTCTGAAGAGTACAACTTAGCATACTATTCGTAGCTTAACAAATTCAGGATATATGAAGTAATTTTTTTTATATCATTTTATGTCTTGTTGCTCTTAATATAGACGAATATTTAAACAAAATAAATTTATTGTTTCTGTAATGTAACTAAGTCTATTGCATGAAATTATAGATAGAGATACCAAGAACACGTATTGTGTATTTTTTCTTAACAAATAGATAATTAGGTATCTATAAATATTGGTGAAATACACTTCACACTATAATTCAATAGTACGCAGCATATAGCATCATATCTATACAAATACAGTAATACCTCGACTTACCCGATTTTCATATCTTGTTTTTATTTCCACATTATTACATATTTTGAATTCCACACAAATCTTAAGTGCTCATATTTTATCCACATTATTGTTAAGCTAATGTGAATATCCAAAAGTATCACACTAAATGGACTCATAGATAGGAGCCAGCTCACAGAAAGGCGTTAACGATTATACGCCGACTTATGGGGGGGGGGGGGAAGAGATCGTTAGTAATGGGAAGGTTAATTGTTATCATTATACCCTACCAGGTCGACCTCCACGCGGTTCTCCCTGGAAACCATCGTAATTTATCGTTGAATTTGTCACGATGGACTAACTTGACCTGCCTTTTCATCTATCATTCCTCACTGGTGCCCCGCCAGTGTATACCGATAGCACAGACGGAGTCATATTCCACTATCATTCATTAAAAAAAATACCGACTTATGCGGTTTCAGTTCAATCCTACCTGTCGCCTATGTACGAGATATTTACTGTATCATAAAGCACTAGCTTATATATACTAATATAAGGAAAGATATATTGAATAAATTTAAAAACTTGTTAACTCATTTTAAAAATTCTTTCACATATAAAAAGCTACGTTATCAGCGAATAATATTAAAAAACAGGCTATATATCATCATTATCATTCGAAAATTTTATCAACACGTGCAAAGCCGGGCCGGATGGCTATTTTAATTCTATATTAGGCACAGGTAATAAATGAAAAGCAGTAATAAATTTATATATTAATTTAATCAGACTCATTTCAAAACATAAATGAGAAACATACACAAAACACGATTCATTTTACAATATCAGTATTGAAATATTACAAAAATTTAGGCTGCTACTACCGACATTGTAGAATGGACCGGCCCACTACGACACACGGTGTCGCAAATAATAACATTTCCAAACCTGAGCGTGATCTAAGTATGTACACAGAAATCAGTACAGCCCGAACGCCAACACTAAGCGGCCGGACGATAATATTGGAATATTTCGAGCGGTTAACCCCATAAATTATAATTCTACATTCAATTCGATGCAGTGAAATGACAGATCACAAAGTCGTGTTATTAAAAAATGTTGCCACACTTATCTTATTAGTGATGTGTAGCATTAAGTTGTGACAATCAATCAATAATGTAATTCCGTTTACTCTATGATTTATTTAAATAAAGAACATTGATTCCTGATTTCTTTTTATTTGGTTTTAAGTATTTAATTATGAAAGATGATAGTAATTCACTTCCATGGCTCTCAAATTGTATTTATCCTTATTCCTAGTGCTTTAGAAATGTTTAGAACTTGTTATTTTAATTTCTTGTATTTTTTTAGTTTAAAACTTATACAATAGCTGGATAATTTCACAACACATTTTTATAACGAAAACTGACAACACTAATGTCATTTTACAACATCGAATTAAAATCAAAGTATAGTAGATTGGACTCGAACACAGCGGCGTACAAGACAAACGAAAGATTTATCTAACGGCTTCGACGAGAGCCTGCACACACACGCTCGCGTACCCGACGGTACGGTAATGTCTCTACACACACACATAAACACGCGCACAGCTTACAGCTCGTCGTGGTCCTCCTGTAACAAAATAAATTTTAAATTAATATAACTAATCAATAGTTAACTCCATTGACTGTTGTTGTCTTTAGTGTGATGATCTTAGTGATGTAACGGTTTAACATACCGTTTTATTTTCTAATAGTTGTGGGTTCGAATCCAGCATAATAATATATATATATATTATACTGGTCTAGGTGTTTTCTATGTACATAGGCATGTATTTATAAAAAAAAAAAACAGTATCTAAGTATTTATATCATTCATCTAGTACCCAATACGTGTAGAATATTTATAATTATAATGAAAAACCATTTTAGCTAATAATCCTAAAAAGAAAAAAAAAACTTCAATTGATTTAAAAACTAAATTACTGATGAAAAACGCTGAAATTTATAGCCATAATAAATTGCAATGTATATGGGAGATTGCAATAATATACTCACAATAGGTGAAGCTTCACCAGCCTCATCATCGAGGTCTTCATCATCCTCATCATCTGGTTTCTCAGCCTTTTCCTTCTCCCTCTCTGCTTCATCCTGTTGGTTCTTCATCTTCTTCTCTCCTTCTTGCGTCTTCTTGATCTGCTCGCCTCGTTCCTTAGCCACTTCAATATCATCAGTGAACAGGAAGTTGTCGAAGATCGTGCCAGATTTGACTTGCCATAAGTCGAGACCGACCGCGCAGAGCTCGTCGCGTTTGTATAGATTAGCGTCAGGCGTGTACTCAGGATTGTCGATCTCTGGGTGGATCCACGCTCCTTTGTATGCAGGGTTGTCAATCTGGAAAATGGTAATATTTTATAAATCAAATTGTTGTTGTAACTTTCATTATAGCTTAATAAAGATTGTGTTACACTATAAATGTGTTTTTTTATAATATTAATAATCCTGCAATGTCTGTTTTGATAATTTTTAATAATATTATTCAATACGACATATAGATAATGAATCAACTCCTAATATTTATCCATACATACATATCTAATATTTTAATTTGATAGTTTCATAATATTACTGTATTATAAATTAAATTTATAATAATTTTGTATTAAATCTATTAGAAATTTAATTAATATTGATAAATGGAATTTTAACTTTATATTTAGAGAAATGGTGACTCATAATTGATTACAATTATTAATTAAATATCTAATATAATTAATCAAGTCACATATCAATTTATGGAATTTTATTTAGGGAAATGGCGACTCATAATTGACCACAATTATTAATTATTATTTAAATATAATAAATCAAATCACATATCAATTTTCCATTGTCAATTATATCTTCTCTAGCGTTAAACTAGTTTGTGGGTAACCACGAATGCATGACAGTCATTTGTCAAATAAATTTATTTAGTAATGTATAAAAATATAACCAATTAACTTGGTCTATTATCAATGTGATAAAACATGTGAAAAGAGTAATTCTAATAATGTTAGTTGGTAAATGAATGTATAACCTTCTATAAGATTCTATATAAAACTTAGATACTCTTTACTGTTTCCTCCAAAAGATTACAATAGTAAACTGATTATACATAAAAACAATTATAAGAAATAATGAGAAAACAATGGATGGCTTTATTGTTAAAAGCGATCTCTTCCAGGAAACCTTTGAATGGAGAGGAGTAATTATAAACAGTTTGATCGGAGACGCGATGAAAATTCTATTTTTAAATATAGAGACGTAATAATGTAAATATATTAATTCTTTTATCGAATTATTAATCACATAATTTAATCATTTAAACTTGGAAAACCGCCGCAATAATTTGTGGTAAACAATAACCAAATAGGCCGGGCGTATACTAGTTTGTGTCATTGACTCGTTTTTATTGCCACCTATGTTTAACTGTTACAGAGGTGAATAAACTTGAGATCTCCGTCTCGATTTGTCGTATGAATTAGCAGTGACGTGACGGAAACGTGACGTGATTAGGTTTAGTTGTAATTTCTTTTTATTATTACTTTTTGAGACTTCAGTTGACCAGAGTGATTGTACCAATATATATTAATTCAAAAACATATACATTTGACAATTAACAATTATTTCTTATATATTAAAATTTATTATCTTAGAACAATAATTAGGTTGTCTTCTAGTTATGGTCTTAATTTGTTATGGGGAATATTCATAGATATAGATTCAAAATTAATGTCAAAAATCTATTTCGCGAATTCATTTTTTGTAACAAAATTAGTATAGGATTAATTGGGTAATTGGCAAAGATATGGATCGACATAAAAATGCCTTGAATCCTTAGTATTAGAGTCAGTTAACTTCAATGTAAGGAGTTCTACCTTCTCGAATGAAAAAGTAGACAACAAAAACAGCAATTGAATGTGTTTTATCTTATTTAACTGTTACTAATGTACATTAGAATAAAAAATATTGCAATTGACACTTTAATAGGGAAGATCAATTTCAAATAGATACGACCATTGACGAAGTGAAAGTCATCAGACTAGACTTTCTAAATTGTTTCATGAGTAATAGAATTCACCTATATAAAATGCAATAAAAATAAATACACTGCGTACAATTGACAGGCATACACAGCCTTTCTGACTGCGGCAATGGAGCCAAAATGTATCATTTCACCCTTCAGACTCTGAATAAGTTGGAAAGGTTGTCACCAAGTTCATGTTTAACAATTTTGTGGTAAGACGTGATACATGTGCGAGAGAGAGGGACACTATTACTGCGATACTTGTTAAAGATTAATCAAACAAAACTGATTTGTCTCTTTAAAAGTGGCAAGCAAACACTTTTGTTAAATCTACAGGAATGTCAATTTCACCAAAATATTTATATGAATGTACTTTTTTATATCTAACTATCTCTCTCTTTTATATACAACAAATTACCTGCTTCGGCGCCCATACACCCTTGTATTCAGGGTTATCAATCATAGGTGGCTCCCATTCGCCGTCCATCTCATCATCCCAGTCTTCGGGTTTGTTGGCATCCGGGTCGGGGATGTGCTCTGGCTTGTCCCAATCTTCGGGTTTCTTGTCATCGGGATCAGGGATGGTGGCGCGGTCGTCCCAATCTTCAGGCTTCTTGGCTTCGGGATCCTGTAATTATAAATTATGTAGACAACAACAATGATAAAATTGTTTTGAATGATAAAATTTGGCAATAACAATCAAATAACCTTGCGAGAATGGAATTTATTTAATACTGCACAGCCACATGATCGATTTAGATTAAAAATTTATTTTCATACTCCTCTTTCGAATCGGTATATTAAAATATATAAATATATTATATTCGTATATGAATTAATAGACATGTTACGTCTAAATCAACATAGGAAAATATTTCCATGCCGCTAATCATATTTCCATCTATGGTTTAATTTAATAACTCAATTAATTTACGTATTTATTGCGCATGCTGCTAATTACTGTATATATGGTCGTAACATGTAAATAATCAACTCTCTAAACCAATTAATGTAGAGTGTTGCTACCTAAAAGTTAAACCAAAAATTGAAAGGATCTGTAAGGTCGACCTTCACGCGGTTAATTCTCGGTGAATTCGTCACAATGGGGCGACTAAGCTGATTTTATCCTCGCCCATCAACGTAGACCAATAGTGCAGCCAAAGTTACCATACTATTTTTTTATTCAAGAATAAAAATCTTAATTAAAAATTACTCTGAAACACTAACTCATGTTTTAAATGCTACATGATTAAAAGTTTCACCAACCTTGATCTTCTTAGGCGGTAAGAAGTCCCAGTCGGCCTCCAGCTCTCCAGACTCCACCTTTTCATTATCGATGAGCACCTCGTATGTGTTGTCTGGTTTCACGACCAGCGTGTACAAATGGGTGTATACATCGTCCTTGCAGCGGATGTCCTTCTTGATCAGATGGTTCTTGCCTTTGTAGCTGAAGATTACGTGAACCTGATGATAAAAACAGTCTTGTGATAATCCGGCTCGAAGGACTAGCATCAAAAAGCAAGTAAGTAAGGCGTAAGTTTTGTACTAATGTTTAAATGTACAATTGTCAATAAACCGCAGCAACTATCAATAGAATAATAGTGCACTGTCATTACAAAAATGCTAAGACACCATAAGGATTGGATTTTAATATCCAAGGTAGTGTCTTAGATATTGATCAGTCATAAATCATTACCCCACTGTAACAATAAGTGTGTGACCATAATAATAATATATGCTCACGACATTGCCCATAAAGGTCTAATTTAATTAGGTCTGTATTGATGGACATTTTACATATTTTAATTTTTAATTTATTTGTACAATAAAAAGAATTTATTGTACAAATAAATTCTTATATACAAAGCATTCTCACTGTATCAATAATATATTTTTTTTCGACACTTTATACTTAAACCTAACAGTAATATTTTGGGGAGAAGGGATTGTTAGTAATGAGGACTAGCAGCCCCATTAACATACAAGCTTTAGTAATTTCACATTGTTTAAATTATATTTAATTATTAACAATAGAAATTTTCTACCGTGAAGTAGTTGTGTTTGCATGGCTGTGTTTTGGTTTGAAGGGTGGGATATGGCAGTGAATTTACAGGGTACAAAGGAATAACACCTGAGTCCTCAGTAATGGCAACATCACGGTATCATGGGCGAAACAGTATACTCTGTTATATATATATATATATATATATATATATATATATATATATATATATATATATATATATACACATACCTCTATATATAAGTCAGTCATGGAAGGGAGGCCTATGTTTAGAAGTGGACAGATAATGGCTGATATGATGATGTTGATTATTATTATTAATCTATTGAAAGTATACTTAGTTACATCTAGTTATATAATTAAATTTGCATTAAAATTCCGACAAATTACAATAATTATTGCGAAACGTTATTAGGGGAAATCGGGCGATTGGCAAACCAATTATCGGCAAACGGATAATAATAGCGTATTTCCGATTGGTAGCTAAATACTAACTGCTAAATTAAACAATACTAACATACTTTACATTGTTGCCCGATAACAGGATCTTTGAAACTAACGAAGCATTATAATAAATACCTACGTGTATGAGTTAATTTTAAACGATAACATTAGAGGGAAAATAAGTTACATTAAAGGTAAAAAAATCATATCTGCTCTCAGGAATGACTAAAATCCTCCTACAAATATTATAAAAGTGAAAGAGTTTGTTACGTTAAAGTACCAAAATGTTTAACGAATCTCTGTGAAATACACATACTATATGGGGTGGACAGACATAATTTTTTTTTTTGTACCAGTCAGTATACATATTACGAGGATTGGTCACGGGTAAAAGCTAGTCTTCTTCTTCCTACCCTTATCCCAATTATTATTTGGGGTCGACGTAATATGTTTTTTATCCATGTTACAAAAGGACTTGGCTTAGTTTTACGACTGGCCGCTTGCCTGACGTGCGAGTAGAAAAGCTAGTATTTAATAAAATTTAAAGGTTGTTTAATTAGATATTCACAGTATGAAAGTAGTAAAAAAAGATTAATCCAGTCATGACTACACATTTTTTTTTTCTAATAGATATACTTAGTTATAAGTATCAATTTAAGGCCGCAGCATTTCCTAATTGATTTCTTTGTAACTTTTACGCGTGACGTCGTCCGCGTAACCGGTATATATTCACTGGCCGGGGAAAAAAGTAGCCTATGTCCTTCTTATACAAGTATTTATTTACTTTAATTATTCATTAAAAAAAACATTATAGGAACAGCGTATTCTATTATAACATATATAATAAACATTAAATATAATACAATACTTAATGCACATGCCTTTTAAAGGTATTCACAGCATTTGCTTTAACAGAACTGTATAGTATGAAATGAAATAAACAATTTTAAGGAATTAAATAATTGTAGATTACAAATATTTTAAAGATTACGTTGTTAGTTATGAAAATACACATGTAATCTGAGTTGTGAGTAATATCAGTAAATACGTACTACATCAGCAAGTACCTACATGTATACTAAATTACACAACGATTCAAGTGCTAAAAGGTAACAAATTGTATCACATTTTTTTTTATACAACTTAGAATGGCAAACAAGCTGACGGCCCACCTGATTGAAAGTGGTAACCGTCGCCTATAGACATGAGCAGTACCATGGACATAACAGAGTATACTGTTTCGCCCATAATACCCCCCATGCATTGCCATTCCTGAGGACTCAGGTGTTATTCCTCTGTACCCAGTAAATTCACGCCATATCCCACCCTTCAAACCGAAACACAGCCATGCAAACACAACTGTTTCACGGTAGAAACACAGAAATAGGACAGAGGTACCCAAGCAATCGACTTTTGTACAAAGTCTCCCTCTGGTGAATATTATTATATTAGTAAAAAAATAAAGATTCAAATTTACTAAATTTATCAATTCAGACAATCAACACAATCGATAATTAGGTGGGTGGGTAAATCATAAAAACTTTTTACTCTTTCAATATGTTGTTTACACATACGGTAACATTTGAACAAATATGTACTCACATATGGCTTATTTATTAATGACTTATTAATGACAGCATGACCTTCCTTTTAACATATCTATTTAATAATATAGGTATGTATATCATCATATCAGCCGTTAACTGTCCATTGCTGAACATAGGCTTCCCCCATCGGGGGAGGGGGAGGGGGGGGGGTGTCATGGCAGTAGTTGCTACGCGTAGCAGGCGAGTTTTTTTTGATGGGTGAAAATGGTATGGTAACCCCGCCTGCGCTAACGGGATACGCTGGGGGGCACCAGTGAAGGGTGATAGATGAGAATGAAAACAGGCCAGTTAGCCTATCATGATGAATTCATCAGGAATTAACCATGATAGTTTTCAGGGAGAACCGCGAGGAGGTCGACCTGGTTGGGTATATTGCTAACAATAGGATTCTCAGTCTCCATTACTAACAATCCCTTCCCTCCCCCTCCCCCCGTAGTAGGCGAGTTGGCAACCGCAGTTAGGCTTTTATCATATTTTAAGAGGAACGCCTATCCCTTCTACCTAAGTCGTCTCTTATGACACCCATGGGAAAGAAAGGGAATAAATAATAAGAAATTATGTATATAGTACAATTACATGAAAGGTTCATTTATTTTACCTATTTATTTGCTGTTTTACGTGCCATTATTACTACCAGTAATAAAAGATAAGATGAAGTACTATCTACTTAATTTATAAATTGAATCTAATCTGTATTAAATCTATCGTAAAAATATTTAGTACATAGCTGATAGGGCAGCGGGCATGGAAACTCAACTAAAGATTTAAATTGTACCAATTTCCATTGATAGTAATCAGAAATCAAGGTTGGAACAACATGCAACTAATACAATACATATTGTCTGCAAACATGCTTTCTATTTCAAAACATGTCACAGTACTGTGTATTGTTTAACATACCTAGTTAGTATTGGTAATTTTAAATATAAAATTCTAAAGACTTAATTATCTATTAAATACATATTATGTACTAATCGCTGAATTGTATGACTATGTGGTATTTATGTACAACAGCAGTTTTTCTAGTGACAGGCAATTCTTATATTAAAAAAATATAAATTAACACAAAATTTCAATAAGTATATAGTCCATTACAACTACTTATTAACCATGGGGGGGAGGGATTGTTAGTAATGGGGTCTAACAGCCCCATTATAGAGGAAAATAAAATTACCTCTATGCCATGACATTTAGTTGCCATAGTAATATTTCCTTGTGAGAAGTGTGCCTAATAGTAGGATACCAATGGGTTGCTATACATTATGGGGAAAGATAATTTCTCTAGGCTCCTGCCTATTTTATCTTATCCCATTACCAAATATTTTTATAAATTACAACAAGCTTTATAGGAAAAATTTTTTAGTTACTTTGTCTAGGAATTTGGAATGGCAAACTAGCTGACAGTCTACCTGAGCTACAAAACCTGTTTTGATATTTCATAATGTTAGTGAGTGAATGTCATTTAGCTTTATATGTATAGATTAATGTTGGTTAATAGGTAAGTAGAAAAAAACAACAGTGGGTGCATTCACCCACTCAATATTTAAGAACATTCATAATTAGCTATCAATTTTCAAAACATGCAATTAATTTCAATGATGCAGAATTATCAATAGTGTTCTAAAATATTAATATTAAAAAAATATAAGTAGATCAGTAAAAACTCTATTCTTGTTTACACATACATTTTGTACCATCAAACTCCAAATACTATCCCTTTTATTTATTTAAATAATACCTATTTAGGTATTATTTAAATAAATAAAAGGGATTTCTATCTGTGAAAACAGACAGTAAATAGACACATTGCCAGTTTTATGATAAAAATTTTAATATCTTACCTTCTTTGTACCAGGTCCACAGATGTCAGGGCCAAACATAATTTCGTATGGGGACTCTCCATGCATGTCTTTCTGGTCAAGTTTACAGTCAAAGACCTTGAGGTAGCCACCTCCGCAGTCAATCTCTTGCTCATGTTTCACAGAGAACTGGATAACTAGAGGTTTGTCCCTATTGCTGAAGGGTTTGAACTTGCGTGACAGAGCGTAGAATCTCGCATCTTCAGAGGTCTTTAAACCTGAAGAGATGATTTAATACTTTTATAACGTTCTATTACTACATCACATAAGTAAATAGTTGTTTGTTCTAAAAAAATAAAGAACCAAATGCCACAACAATTTTTGTTTTTTGCGTACGTATGTATATGTATATTAAAAATTAAACCACCCCTAAGGGTAACCTCTACGACAGAGATTATTTCAAATAGGTAGATAGATAGTAAAATACAAATTGAAAATTTTTTTATTAAACCGATTTTATTACCACCAATACAATAATACAGGAAATTGTATAAATACTTTACCTTTATCTTCTTCCGGATCATTGTAGAACTTTCCAGCAGTTAATTTGAATTTGCCGAATTCTTTACCGGGGTGTTCACTGTACACCCAATTGGATTCCCATGAATCTGGAAACAAAACCGAGGTTACTTAGTTCAATACACCCTAAAATGAACCGGTAAAAGACGCGACAATCGATAGCACACGCGGCAAGCCGGCGCGGTTATTCCGACATTTTTTACTAAAAATTGATACGAATTATTGGAAAAATAAACGCTTACCATCTGGGAATTTCTCCTCGAAATACACTTCACAATTAATTGAGCTAATTGTCAGTAAACTGACAATAATTAAAACTAGGGATTTCATTTTGATTCACAACAAGCACTCGCGTACAAAGACCTGTCCACGAATAACTTCATAAATTGGCGAATTTCCTATTATTAGTTCAGTTGAAGAGATATTTTGAAAATTAGTTTTCTCGCTCACATTGTCAACATTCTCATACAAATGAGTAAGACAGTTATAAAATCATTTTTATTACTATAAAATGAATGAAAGGAATAGTACTAATAGAAGGTGCAAAAGATTACATAAGAGTGAAAGAGTAGGACTGCGAATGGATTTGACGTGTGACGTGAAAATACGACAGACAGATGGAAGGTTGTGATTGGCTAAAATACAACAAATAGGAATTGAACACACTGCTCAAAATTAAATAATCAGGCGCGCGAAAATTTAAAAAACATAGCGGTAGCGTTATAAACAAATTATTATTTTTCAATATTAATGATTTATTATACAATTCTCATAATTCTTTTTATTCCGTTATTTAATTAATTCCATTGTCCTATTCGTAATCATGAATAAAAAATTTATTTTTATTTATAAAAAGACGCTATGCGCCAATCACGGCTTCACATGACATGAAATGTGATGCAAGATATTAAAACACGTAGATGAAAAGAAACAGAGCATAGTTACGTGGATAAACCTGGGTGGGTTTATTTCATTATTTTTCGTTGCTGTTTTGCTTAAAAAAAGTTAATATATAAATGACGTGTTAAAATACGAAATATTTTTAATACCTATTTATGTTCGAGCCACATAAATTTTCACTTTAAATACGATACGTCATTCAGCAGTCGGTAGTAGCATTGATCATTTATCGGGCAATAGGTGTTGAGGTATAATTTTTATATATGTATACGTTGTAAATGGGTGTATAGGAAGATCTTATTGAAATTTAAAGATAATTTATCTTTGTTCCCATTTTTTTTTTCTTTTTTATACCACTGAGATGGCAAACAAGCACACGGCCCACCGGATGGTAAGCGGTTTTTAGTCAAATTAAAAATAAAAGTATAGTTTTTCCTTTCATTTAACTCTCACCTCCGAGGCCGGTGCTGTGATAAGCAAGTAACTTTATATATGGGTCTCGGATTCGATTCTAGAGTCAATCAATGCAGTATGGTAAACAAGCATACGGCCCGTCTGACGGTAAATGGGTTTACCGTAGCCTGTAACATCAGAGATGTCAAACACGCGTTATCGACCCTTAATACGCCCTTTTTGAAAAAGCTCATGGTGTAGTCACTAGAGGTGTAGTGCCTAAACTAAGGTTACCATTTTTCAGAACAGTCGGTTTCTTATTTTTCCAGAGGGAGACTGTACAAAAGTCGATTGCTTGGGTACCTCTGTCCCATTCGTGTTTCAACCGTGAAGCAGTTGTGTTTGCATGGCTGTGTTTCGGTTTGAAGGGTCGGATATGGCGTGAATTTACTGGGTACAGAGGAATAACACCCGAGTCCTCAGGAATGGCAACGCATGGGGGGTATCATGGGCGAAACAGTATACTCTGTTATGGCCATAGTACTGCTCATGTCTATAGGCGACGGTTACCACTTTCCATCAGGTGGGCCGTCAGCTTGTTTGCCATTCTAAGTTGTATAAAAAAAAATGTAAAAAAAGATGCATTCACTACCGTTTGTACCGCTTTACGTTGAATTTGTATTGGCATATGAATATTCAATGGTATAAAAACGTGTTTAATTGGACGATGATGCTCGTAACGTGGATAACCATCCTTCCTGTAGGTAATTGATAAATTTCTTGCCAGACATGTTGTTTTTTTTTATGGGTGAAAATGGTATGGTAACCCCGCCTTCGCTAACGGGATACGCTGGCGGAGCACCAGTGAAGGGTGATAGATAAGAATGAAAACAGGCCAGTTAGCCCATCATGATGAATACATCAGGAATTAACCATGATAGTTTCCAGGGAGAACCGCGAGGAGGTCGACCTGGTTGGGTGTATTGCTAGCAATGGGATTCTCAATCTCCATTACTAACAATCCCTTTCCCCCCAATAACAGTAGTATTAGACTATCTTATATTGTTATTACTACCTATTTATTCTTTGATTCCTTCTACCCAATGGTTGTCTGGAAGAGATTGCTTAGCAATAAGACCGCCTTTTGTATTACACTATACTTATCGAGAATTGTTCAATAAATCCTGTAATGTTGATGCAATAAACAAATAATTAAAAAATAAATAATTAAAAACAAAATTAAACAAATAAATAAATAAATATTATTTCGTACAGACCAGTATGTCATGCTTTAGAGCTTTCACCTTACATTATTAAAATGTGACAGTTCAAAAAAGGAATATATGTCCATAGACACACATTTATATATATATATATTTTTTATTTAAGTGTCCACTGATGAATAGAAGCCTTTCCCATTAAGGAAATTTTGCCAGTAGTTGCCGCGCTCGGCAGGCGGTTTGGCAACCGCAATTAGGCTTTTAGAGATGTTTTAAGAGGGACGCTGCTTCCCTCGACCATAAGTTAGTCGCCTCATACGACACACCCACGGGAAAGGAAGAGGTGGCCTATTCTATGCCGGGACACATACGACGAATATTTGCGTATAAATATATACTTAATAATATAATCCTTAATCCATGGATAATCATAAACCCATAAAATGCATTTTTATACTGAAAAAAATTACCTACTTCGTATATTCATCCATAATTTATCGTGCATAAAATACTGTTAAATTTATTAGTAGTAAAATTTTAATTTGATAAATCTAAACATTGAAAAAATCCTTAATTTTTATCCTTACTAATCCCATTTGGAAATAGGAGGTGAGAATCAATAATATATATATATTTTTTTTTCAATAATGCCTTTATTTAACAGCATTTACAAAACTATTAAAGTGAGAAGGCTTCTTTGAAATCGTAGTCGTCCTTTTTGGGTGCATTTGTTAGAGTAACATTTTCAAGGACACCAGCTAAATCCACAGCTTTCTTCTCATTCCTCACTTTCTTCTTTTTGTCCTTTTTGAATTGCATTTTCCTTATTTTATTCTGCTTTGTGTTGCCCTCGAGAAGCATTTCGGGGTCAGCTTTAGTGCGCTCATTGGATTTATTGCTTTTATCTAATTTCGACCTTATATTTAGCGCTTTAGGGAGCAAACTCGATTCATCTTCGTCGACTTGCATATTTTCGTCTAGTAGACTAACAGGACCAGTACTTGTGATCTGAAAGAAAATGAGATCTAATAATTTGCTTGAAGATGCTTCATTGGTAAAACACGTGTCGCAAAACAAGCATAAACAAAATGACAGCTGACTGTCATTTGCTTAGATTGATAGCTAATATGGAAGGTAGTGCAACTTCTGGTAGTAATAATTTATTTATTTAATTATATATTATCCCATTGGGTGAGCCTTACAGTCTTCCAATACTCCAATACGCTCACCCAGGAAAGCACGAGTACAATAACATATAAAAAGGAATATAACACAAAAATATTAAACAAAAAATAATATAAAAAGATTTAACTCAAACAAAAAACGTCTGAACACAAATACTCTGTGGTCACTCGACGAAACTCCAGCAAATTGGAAGCAAATACATCCAATTGGCAAATACATACTGGCTCAAAATATCATTGAGTAGTTTCAATGCAAGAGATAGGGGAGCTTAGCGAACTCTGTTCTTCGTAATGGAACATCGAATAAGTGCCGTCGACGTGCTCGTACGTAGTTACTGGGCGCTCCTATTGATATTCGAGAGTTGGCATTCACACACATACCAATGGCAGCGGAATTAAACAAAATAATTGTAATCAAAAATTAAAAAAAAAAAAAAACAACCTTTTCTTCTGTACTTCGTCCCTCCTTAAGATATATACATCTCCTATATACAAACAACAAATTTATTATTTTATTAATAAAATTAATATACCTTAACAGCTTCGCCATCAGTCCTATGTGCATCTAGCTCGCTCATAGCTTCCGTCTCCATCGCCTCGAACGAGTTGATATCGAATTCTTTAGCTATTTCGGTGACGATTTTCGCATCTACGTGAACCTCCGAGGCGAGAGTTTCCGGTGGCTCCGTGAAATACCGCACCTGTAGAACAATGCATACACAGTTAATTTTAAATTTTCGCGTTGTTTATACATCGTCATAGTCGTAGAATACTGACGGATCTATATATGTAATTTTTGTCAGATCCGTCAGTATTCTACGACTATGACGACATATTTGAATACACTATCGAGACATAACGTGATGTAAAAGCTTTTAAAAGTAAATAGTACCTACATACCTGCTTCTTTATCGCCGACGTTGCGACGTAGATTGCATTACGTTGTGGTCACGACAGGACTGTCGTGACCACTACAGTTCTGTCAGCCAGCAAAAATTGTTCCATCACGTTAAGTCCCAACAGTGTATTTAAATAAATGCATACATAGGCATATATATAAAGAGGCCGTGTGGATCGTGCCCACCCCAATTCATGTCTAAAAGTACATAATGTGATTTTTTTAACGGACCAGCCCCCCTCCCCCTCCTCTCCCAGTCCAAGAAATAAATTTAAATATGCCAATGAATATATAATGATGATAATAAAGCTAACAATGTAAACATTAATAAAGAATATTTTGGGGGAAAAGGATTGTTAGTATTACTAAAAATCCCATTGCTAGCAATATACCCAACCAGGTCGACCTCCTCGCGGTTCTCCCTGGAAACTATCATGGTTCATTCCTGATATATTCATCATGATGGGCTAACTGGCGTGTTTTCATTCTCATCGATCACCATTCACTGGTGCTCCGCTAGCATATACCGTTAGTGCAGGCGGGGTTACCATTCCATTTTCATCCACCAAAAAAAATGCTAATATACATTAAATTGAAACAAGTGCTATACATTAGAGTAATTACCTGGTGGTCAAACTAACTATAGTAAGAAATTAGTTAGAAAAATGTCCTAGTCTCCAAAATGAGCATAAACCAGACACAATAAAAAAAAAAACATATTTAAGAACAAACCCAGACCCGAGTCAATTTAGAAAAGAAAAAAAATACCCAAGCGAAAATTAAGCCAAATATTTTCATTTCAACGGTATAAAATGATTCCAGAAATTTTTATATTTCTCATTTTATGGGGTAGTATTTATTTATTAGGCTAAAAAAACAACCTCATTTCTGTATTTATATAAAGGTTTAGTGGAGAAATATAAACTATAAAACGCAAAAATATAAACGCTCTCTATAATTATAATAATATAATTGTGGTAACTATCATAGTTCCCTAATTTTTTGGACTAGAACATATTCTGACTACTGTAAATGAGAATATATATTACATTATATATCTATATTATATTATATATAATATAATATAGATAAAACACACAACACTCAACAAACACACCAGAGCCATCCAACACAATTCACACACATCAAACACAATTCAGTATACACTCAAAAGAGAAGGCGAGGTAGAAAACGGACTTAAAAAAAAAAACTGGGGCATATGTACCTTTTTTCCTGTGGGTTACAGCACGGGGTATGTTTTTAAGCCGACATAAGTCGAGAAGGTGAAAAACAAAAAATAATATAGATTATATATATAAAATTTGTTACCTTTCCAATGTTCCAGTCGTTGAGTAATATCCTAGCAGCTGCGTCTTGATCAGGCACGCCGCCTTTCCTGAACCTGCCCATACGTGACGCTAGACTGGCGAAGAATTCCTGCAAGCACAGATCATGTTAATAAATGTGATATTGATAGCGAAATTTTCCATGTAATGATGGAGTAAAAATATCTAGTTGAAACATTCAGACAACTTTAGGATGTAGAGACTCACATTTTAGAGGTTATTTAATAAAAGCTGGTAAAATAAAGTGCGAGTCGGACTCGCGCAACAAGGGTTCCGTACAAAATCATCAAGTTGATATTTTTTTTTGTGAAATAACTACAAATTTATGATTTCAGATTTTTTCCTTGTGTTGCATGACATTGCTTCTTGCCAAATGTCATGATTATAGTTCAACGGTAAGTACCCTATAGGTTTTAAATCCCTTTGCGAATGTCAAAATATGTGATATAAATGAAACATAAACGGCCGTATCTTTTGATTGCATCGATTTAGAAGCTTAATTTTTTCACTGCTTTAAAAGATTGCAGTCCTGAGTATATAATATTAATTCCAACTTGATACCTCAACGCGTTCCTAAGAAAATGGTCTTGACAGACAGACGGACGGATGGATGAACAACGCAGTGATCCTATAAGAGATCCGTTTCTCCTTTGGAGATATGGACCCTAAAAATAGAAAAAATAATTAATTACCTGTGGTTTATTGAAGTCCGGTACACTATACAGATCAATGAGTGTCTGTTTGTTGGCCCGCTGCAGTATTGCAGTGGCAGGTGTGACTGGGTCCTTAAGGCTGCCCACACGGATTGCATTCTTGAGGGCCACAGAAGCATCACCCTCCGACCCTGAGTGAAACACAATACCAGGGCTGTCCAAGATTTTGATCTTTGAGTCTAATTGGACCGTCTGCATTTGTCTGTAAATATTATTAAATTATTATTTGATAATATAGGAACATAGTGACTTGGACTCCTATTATTGTGAGTTAAAATTTTACGTCAGTTTATATTTTCGACAAACCCATTTGTATCAAAAATACCTTTAACAAACCAAACTAATTTGAGGGGCATGAAGTGAGTTTATTTATTTTGTGTAATATGGTTGGCAACCAAACTTATGACACTTAAACTTATGGTCCTATTTATAGTAAAAGAACACAACATCTGATGAGTACTTACAAATTTAGAAGGATGACCAGTGCGTTACACTCTTTTGTGATTGTGATAATAAGATGTTCTGAAGGTACAGTATTAAGTAATTTCACTGTTATATGTAACTTTTTGAACTATTCAAGTACATAATACAAGCAACTGTTTTGTTATAGAAATGGGTGAGAATGAGCTGTATGCACTCATAGATAAGTTGTTCAAAATCTTACTTGTACTGAATATATAAATGAATAGAAAGAAAGAAAGAAAGAAACTTTAATTTACAGAAATAAAATACATATTAAAAAACAGAATACAGTTAATTAGCAACCCGCCCTGGCTTAACAAGGGTAGGTAGACATCTAATTTTTTTAAGAATAAATTACAGCTCATGTTACTCATTGATATTTAACTTTATCAAAGTGATTAAATTTTAAAAATTGATTAATATATATTTAGAGTTTATCAATTACTAGTGATCTGGCCTGGCTTTCCATGGATAGATAGTTTTCAAAAATAATATATAACATATGTTACTAGATGATAATGTAACTTTCTATGGGTGAAAGAATTTTAAAAATCAGTGGAGTAGTTTTTGAATTTATCCATAGCAAACAATCAAATCTTTTCTCTTTATAATATTCATATAGAAGAATAAATTTATTAATTTATTATTAATAGATTAGTAATTAATCTTTGGTACTGACATATAAGTTACAAAAATACCTTACTTGGTAACGCCAGGAGTACTGCCAACGTTGCAAGCCTTGGACCTGTTCAGACTGTTGATGATGGAACTCTTGCCGACATTGGGTAGACCCACTACTCCAACTGTGATCGATGTCTTGATCCCCTTATTGCGACAGTAGTTACCCAGTAAACTCATTAAAAGCTCAGCCCCTACACAAGCTGAACCTGAAAATAAATTATATTACGATAAATAATGATGTTATTTTTATTATAATAAAACTATTCATTTATACAGCTTCAAATGACAACAAGCCGACGACGAAGGGGGAAGGGGGATTATTAGTAATGTGGACATTACTAGCAATGTGCCCTGGCAGATCGACCTCCACATGATCCCCCTTAGAAACTATAGTGCTGAAATCCAGGTGTATTCATCACGATGGGCTAACTGATCTGCCTTTTCTTCTGTTTCCTACAGGACAGGCTCAGCCTAGTGTAGGAATCAATGATAAATTCTGTGCTAATACAAACATCCTCACATATCATCCCTCACTGGTGCCTCGTTAGGATATACCGTTAACACAGGTGGGAATATCATAACATTAGCTTCCATTATAAAAAACAAGCCCTTTAATGGAAAGTGAACTGTTGACTAAAGACAGGAACAGGACAGTACTGTACCAGTAACAGAAGACATTTTGATGGTACAGCATCAATATGCCCATGCCTACTTAGCAATGTTTGAATGGGCAGTAGAATCATAAATACTGTTCAAAAAGCACTTGTAGTTAAGTTTACTTGAATAATAATTTAAAATTGTTTTCAATAAAAAAATAACAAATTTAAATTGTGGAATAAACAGATATTTTGATTTAAAAACTAAACTATGTTCTGATATAAGTGATATTATTGTTCTGCTCTAAATCTGTTATTTCTTTTTTGGTAAAAAATGCATTTTTAATATTTTGTCAACCGATTATGATATAATTTTAATGGGACCAATTTGTAAGTATATATTTATATCATTTGAGATAAAAAAAAAAAGAATTTCAAATTCGAATTTCCAAATCAGTTTATAACTGACAGTTTACATATGTAAAACCAGTCAGGGTTTTCATTTCGCTGTTTATGTTTATAGGATGGTTAAATATTATTTTTTAAATAAATGAAAAGGAAAAATTATTTATTATCTATATTAAACTATACCTTTCATTTCTTTCTCTTTGACTATATGTTTCATTTTTTTCCTTCCCAAATTGTGTTGCTGATCTTGTGTGGATGCCTTGAACGGCACAGCTGGCGCAGATCTGCGTAGGTATGTAAGCCAAGCCGTTAGATTGTTGCGCGGCACTAAATCAGACTTGTTTAGTACTAGGACAAGTCTCTTGCCCGATTCTCTTACTGCTTCCTCCACTTGAGCACACCTTGTACCTATTCAACAATATATAAAACATGAAGTGCTAATAATTAAACTAACTCAAATAAGAAATATAACATTATCAGGCTAGGCTTTACTATCCAGGGGTCCCGAGATCGAATTTCAGCTCAGAGCTCTGTAATTTCCAAATTCATGATTGTTTCTTTTAAAAATAACTGTCCTCCTTCATGAACAACAAAAACATGTAAATGTATTCCATAGCATACTATAGCAGCCGTTAACTGTCCACTGCTGAACATAGGTCTCCCTCAAAGAAAGGTTTTGCCAGTAATTGCCACACTTGGCAGGAAAATTGGCAATTGCAGTTATGCTTTGGTGATGTTTTAAGAGGAATGCTGCTGGTCATTTCTCAACTATTAAGTTTCCTTAGTCCCATAGTCTTATATGATGCTGTTTTATGTATATTCAGTGATATTTATTATTAATACCTACCCAGAGGGTCTCTCGCATCTACTACTTCTAGAATGACTTCAGCCTCTGATATTACTTTTTTGAACTCCCTGTAATATGTTTTGAGTGAGTTCTCTTGTCTTCTATCTTTGCCAAATTCAACTTGATCAGTTTCGTTATCATTAGCTTTAAAAGCATCATGAACTTTGCCTCTCGCTTCAGCATTTGCTACCTGAATATAAAAGGAAAAAAAAATATCAAATTATTTTGTATAATAACTGTATTCCGCATCTTTACCTGCATAATAATAATTTATCTATTGTTTTTGTGACAATCAGATATATATAATAAACTATTATAATTAGAAAATTCAATTAAAATACAGTAGGATAAAGTATAGACCAAAACAAAGTTACAATAGGTGGTCTTATCGCTAGGACAATCTCTTACAACCTTTCTAGCTACCTTAGTAAATTTAATAAAATAAAACTCAATCTATAAACTTCTTGTCTTTATTATTTTATCAGTTTAGGGAATTTAAAAAAGTAGGGTGTTTTTAATTATTACTTGATCATACTTATACAATATTTATTGTGGCAATCAAGCATATGGTCTATCTAATGTTCAATATTTATTAATATTATAAATGTGAAAGTTTGTGAGAAATGATGGATGAATAAACGTTACTTTTGCATGCAAAAACTACTTAAGAGATTTGAGTGAAATTTGATATACAAGGTCCTCTGCCAAACATGAATCTCCCCCTATTAGGGGTTTTTGTCAGTAGTAGGTTATATCCTAATTGAAATAAATATAAAGTTATACAACTAGAATTAAATCTTTAATGTAAAATTTGTAAAGAACATATTATATTTTGTATAAGAACAAATACTATACCAATGTATCCATGCTGATATTACTGTTTTTCTTTTCTTCTAACTTCTTTTGCTTTTCTAATTTCGCCAATTCCTTTCTTTTTTGTCTCTCTTCTTCTTTATGCTTTTTCATGGCCTCAACCTCTTTCAATATGTCCTCTTTAAAAGGGCATATGTTTGGAATCTGTACAGGCTTGGGTTTCTTTGATTTTGGATTTTTCTTTGCCTCCTTCTTTAATTTACGATTGTGCTCCCTCACCTTTTTTTCTATTTTGTAACGGAGCCTTGCTGGCTGTCTTTTTGATGGTTTCTCTATGTATTTAAAATTTTATAATTAGCAAAAAATACAAAAAAAGTCTAAAATAATTAATAAAAAAAAATGGAATATATCATCAGTAACTAAAACTAGTATATTTGAACATGTATTTTAAATTTACTTGAATGTACTTTTTATATTTTATTAGCTGTTATATATATCCATGGTATATACAGTTAATTAGGAAAATGAGAAAATTCCTAAAATTACAAACCACCAAATATTTATATATTTCTATTATTATGATAATAAATATTCATAAGGGTTACTTAAATAATTTTTTTTGTACAGGGTATAAGGGACAGGTTGGCCAAAAGGAAAACAACTAATTCAGATGAATAGTCGGAATCAGATGGTAGATTATTGTCCTACCAGAAATGCCCAACTACCATATAGTTAATGATTCTAAGTTTTGTCATTACACAATGTATTTGAAATTTTACAATCCACACAATGCATGATTTGTATGTATAGCACATCAATAGCCTTTCTTCATAGGTAGTTTCGTGTTCTTGTAGTGTTCATACAGCTGATTCTATGCATCATGGTAGGATTTTAACATGTGTATTACATTACATTGCTGTTGTTTGGTATTTCAAAGTATTTTACTGTAAAATATTATTATTTCCATTATGATAACATGATTTTGAATGAAAAAAAAAAATTGAATTTTTCTGGAAAGTATCTCCATTGGTTTTTAGTTCAGAATAATGGACTATTTCAGTTTTTGCCAACCTGTCCCTTACACCCAGTCTATTCTCACAACAACTTAAGCATATGTAACAAAAATTAAAAACAATTTACATGTGTTTTACACATGGAAAAATATAGTTATAGACACTCAAAAAAACCTGTCAGACCTGTGTTATGCAGTGTAAATAAATGGAATAAATTCTGCTTAAAATTGTTATTCACAATTAATTATGCCTTATGATTACGTACAAAGAAAAGTAGTTTTAAAACACTGATAATTAAATAATTACAGTATAGAAATAAAAAAAAAACTGTCAACTTAACCTGAAAAATATATAGACTTGTTCAAAATCTATATAGACCTATGGGTAGCCTAAATGTTTTCTAGTTAATTACACATAAAGTGTAATTCAAAGTAAATTAAATAGATAAATTATGTTTGTAGTTTTTGCTTTAACCTAATTGTTTTCTTATTACTGAGCACATTGGTTATATTTATATTTCTAATAATAGATAATGGAAGAATACAATTAGAAGATACTTACTCAATTTAAATTTAGCCATATTTCTCTTTATTTTAAATCACTGTTAGGCACTTGAAAGTGTTATAATGATTATTATTTAAAATTAAATTAAATTAACACACCATAAAGAACAAAATCACATTTCTTTGACAGATTCAAAGTTTGACAGCCGACATTTTTTTTTTTTTTTTAGTACGTTTGTTCCGTTTGGAACAGGCTAAGGTCGGAGACCATGCTGCCTAGTCTTCAAAAAGATAATTTGTCTGGAATAGCCGACATTTATGTTACTGACAGATTTGATTTGACATTATAATTTTTTTTACTACTCTACTTATGTATTTTCTGCAGGACACTATCCTTAATCTATGACACAGAACAATTAGTTATCGTGTTAATTACTTATAATATTTATTTTATATTTTAGTTGTAGTTTGTATTATTAAAAGCGTATAATATTCAGACTACTTGTACTATGCTAAATCCATCTCTAAAAATGATTAGAAAGCTAATATATCTAACGAGCGATTTAGATTAATTTTATTTAACTATTATGAATTAGTTTTATCTATTGCTGCTAGATCGCTAATGGCGCTGTTCCTTAAGGAAAATGTATTTATCTTTCCTAGTGATCTTAAAGCAATAGTTTTACGTAATATTATGTTAACATTTTGTTATCATTGGTTTTTAGATTAAAATTTTTGGTCTTAGTCGTAGTTATCCAATTTGACACAAACTAAAAGCTAACTATCCGTTCATTTTGTTCTTAGGTTCCTTTTTAATAATTTGTCCCGTTTCCTGTTTGTTTCATAAAAAAAGTTTGCATGAAGGCCACGTCATCTCAAAATTCTTCGAAAAAAAAACTGTTCATTGAATTTGAAAACTACATTATAAAATAATCAGATGGGTACTTATTCATATCGATATATTATATTATATATATTGTAATAAGGCAGAATATAAATGGTTATACAATACTATACATATATATTTCTTATATGAGGCTTCTCGGTGGTGACAAATTCGTCAATAAATGAGTAGCGCCGATTTCATAGTGATTACTTATTGAGTAGTATTAGTGTATTTTTCATTTATTTTTAGTTTTCTCAATCGTTTTTATTGTTACCTTCTAGCTCTTCTCCTGTCTGTTGGTAAGCAATATACCTATTTTATTAGGTTAACTTCAACATGATTTTCTCTAGAAACCTTCGCGGTTAATTTTTAATGATTTTTTTGCAGGGTTCAGAGGAATAACACCTGAGTCCTCAGGAATGGCAACGCATGGGGGGTATCTCGGGCGAAACAGTATACTCTGTCATGTCCATGATACTGCTTATGTCTATAGGCGATGGTTACCACTTTCCATCAGGTGGGCCGTCAGCTTGTTTGCCATTCTAAGTTGAATAAAAAAAAAACACACACACACAACACAATCTCTTTTCTTGCCTTTTCCCATTATGTGCAGTCTTTTGTCCAGTCTTGTTTCATGTGTTGAAGTGGAAGGTCTTGATCGATCTTTGCGGAACTAATCTCTTGACGAACTGCAAAAGGGGCGGTGGTTTTTCGTTCTTGCTTTTTTTACACTTTTATATAAAATGTATGCATTAATGGCAGATATCTCCATTCCCCAAAAGAACATTTTCCTCTACCACTTAAGAGATTTTCTTCCGCACGATCAACACCACCCATTGCAGCCGTGTAGTTAACAACAATTTTTGGCTTTTCCACATTTTGTTGTTCACCTCTTACAAATCCTGTTTTTTGAAAAAAAAAATTGTAATGAATCCAGCGCTACCACTGCTGCTTAAGCGTAACCACCTGAACCAAGCACTTATTATAATGTAAACATAATAAACATATAATAAACACAGACGATTTCGCTTCTTAAGTCACAGATAATATAATACTATACTAGCCTAAGTGTTAAGGGCGCCGAGTCAGTAAAACATCTGTGTCGTCGGAGTCGCGACAGTGGATTTAATGTTAGCATTTTAATGTCGCAAATACAGCGACAACGTAGTGTAAAGGGAACTCTTTGTACTCCGTTATATATATATATCCGTTAATAGGTAAACAGTGAACATGGGCACTTATTAAACAAATCACGTCGCCATTCATTCATGGTCGGCAGAACGTTTTCGTGAATGAGCTCCCTTAGGGGACTCGACGAAGCGGCTGGCTGCCGTTGCCATATGACGCTTTGTTCGCGGCAGCAGCTGCGTTCGACTCGCAAAACGGTCGTTTGTACCTGCACAGGTAACAGAAGCAACAGGTCATTTCACCGGCGCGGGGAGCGCCGCTATCGGCCCGGCCGTCGCACTGCAGCGCACACAGTGGAGTCTCGCTCGTTCAGTCCAGTCAGTCGCGCTCTGTATACCGCGTTGATAATACAAGCGGCTGTGCTCGTTTCGAATAGCCATACGCGACTTTCCCGCGACGTAACTATTGCGGTGCCGAGTGATGTACGTGAACATAAAAAGTTCTTGTAAATTTCTTATCAACGGCAGTTTGTGACAGTGCAAATGTCTCCAAGCTTGGAAGGAATTATGTTCAACAGGAACACGAACCTGTCGGCACGCCGGCCGTTGTTGGTGGACGCGCAAAAGCCTCTTGTAGTCCCTCCACGCGTGCCTCCCCGCGACACTGGTCCACAGCGGCTGTTGCCTGCATCTCGAAACCTACCCGCCGACTATCCCTACGAATACCGACCGAATTACTGGAAACCTTCGAATGTCGAACTCGAGAAGCGATTGCAGGAGGCGCGAGCTCGCGAGAAAGTTGGCTACTTTCAAGACAAAGTTACGCCTCCCGAGCTAAGCTTAGACCGCAGGGAAGCAGAACTCGTATTTAAGTTCGACCCTCACGCTTCAGCGGATTATCTGTCAAGCCAGTATCGAGCTCCCACAGTGCATTATGTGAAGCCACCGACGCCAGCAAACGGGTTTTCTAACCGTCTACCAGAGAGAGACGGCCCCTTTGTTTTCGGTGTGCATAGTCCGAGCCAGTTCCCGATTTCTCGACGGGATGATGACGACTACGATTATTCAGAGGTGGCAGAGGCGAATGGCCGTCCTGTTGTTAGAGATGATGTGTCTGAAGATTTAAATTGTTGTGATAGAGTGAACGAGTGGACAGTACGAGATAAGAAAAGCAGGAGTACACTGAATAGGATGTTTCAAATAAGAGATAGAAGGAAGGTGAAATGTGGAAAAAAGGGGAAGATAAAGTGTGTGTTAGTGGGTGATGGGGCAGTGGGGAAAAGCTCACTGATAGCTGCATACGCTCAAGATACATTTCGAGAAGACTATGTACCGACTGCACACGACACGTTTAATGGTAAGTTTATACATATAACGTCATAGTTTAGAAAATTTGATAACATATTCAGCAGAATATCGTCAAGAATACACTTATACGAGTATAAAGAGTGTAATTTTTAGCTAGTAGGAATATGGACGAAAATGGTAGTGACTTATCGCGAACGACCCTGATCCATAAGATACTATATGTAATTATCGTGATTGCAACACAAATCATCATTAGATAACGCCGCAGCAGGAAAATGTACAATAAGTGCCTACCTATTATCAGGCGCCACAAAAGATTTTACGGACAGTTTGTGTATATCTACAGGTGCTGATTATGAAACGTATCTATTTATGAAAGTATTGGAAATTTAATAGGTTGATAAATTAATAATTACTATATGTTCTTAACCTGAATTAAACAAAGAAGAAATTCAGTACGTAGGAATGGGAAGGCGCTCTAAAAAAATTTTTCTACACTTCCAATAATAATAATAAGTTTCTTATTAACATTGTTATTGACACGTAATACATATAATAAACACTGTTATTACCCCAATATGCTTTCTTAGTAATACATGCATACTTACTTACTTCATTGATTCCACCTATAATTTTCTCTCAAATCACACAATAAAACAGCAGCAAAGAATTGAAGTAACCTTAATTTTTTGTTTGTTACCTCTAAATCCGTCAGTTTTAAACCGATTTGGAAATTTATTTTTTCATATGAAAGGATCTGTTTAAATATTGATCCCATACAAATTTTATCATAATCGGTTCAGGAGTTTAGTTTTTAAATCAAAATAACTGGTTTTGTCACAATTGGAGTCAGTTTTGTTGTTAGTCGAACGCAATTTAATAGTTATAGTTACTTATCTGCCCATTTCTTAGAAGCAATAAAAATCGGCTACTCCGAATTACAAGTAATATTAATTTAAAAGTCGTAGCCGTAACATTAAATGCTAGTTTGATAACAAAAAATATAACCCTGTGATAACATCCAGATATTCATGAAATTGAACAATTTTTCTAAAAGAAAATACCTAGTCGATATGAAAATGATATATCATTTTTCGCGTATTTTGTATGAAAGGTGTAAATTATTTTCATAATTCGACTGTGTTTCCCGAGGAAAGTTGTGTAGTTTCACATCTCTAGATTTCGTGTTTTTAGTTCATATTAATATTTTTATAAGTACTTCAAAAATTTCTGCATTTATTGTTTATTAAGTTTCACAAAATTAATAAAAATTTACATAAAAAAAAATCTCAGTGTAATTACTGTAATAAATTTATGTCGAAAGAATCTTCAACTTTTACTACCTTAGTTATAAGTACTACGATTTCATACCCATACTTAATATCTTTATATAAATATGCAACGTTCGCCATATAGTGTATGTTTGTGTCAACATTTTCCAATCCAAGTATGGAAAAAGGATAAGGAAAACTTTCATTGCAATTGTTATAAAGTTTAAGAGGAAAATGTATCAACAAACAAACTCCTTTTGATAATGTTATTACTAGGGATTATTTAGAAGATAAGAATATTAGGATCAAAGGTGTGGAGAGAGATTCTTTGACATTTATGTATTACGAACTAAAATAGTAATCGCAGATTTAACATTCAAATCCATTGATATTTATCCATCATTCTGCATTGGATCTGAACCCTTACAAACGGGAGTCAACGACACGCCGCCTCCCGTTCTGTACTAGTTAATTCTTAGGTCTTATCAACAAAGGAACTCGTTTTAACACACGTAACAATAAGTTGGCGGCCAGTTGGTTACCTTAAATTCCTTTTACGCTTTCTCAATTTAAATTTTTAAAAGCCGTAAGAATATAATTTTTATTACGTAACGTGTTTTTTAATTGTAGCAGTCTTCGATATGAAGGAGAAATATTGCGCTGTTACAAGTAATACTACAGTTAGAGAGAGTATTAGCTTTTTATCAGCATTGTCAGATTCGTACATAATTTGAAGAATATATGAATACATGTCTAGTAACCACTAACTTGCTAAAGTTTTATTAATTACTGACTTAATACTTTTTTTTCAATTAGGTAAATATGTTATACATAATACATAATTATATTATTTTTAGGTTAAAAACCTTAACATATTTTATATGTCGTGTGGAGTATTTTTCACGCTAATTACTTAAACCACTATTTTTAGAAAATAAATATTTACCTAATTTATAAACTAACCTTTATCTAATTATATAATAATATTGATTACAAACCTGCTTCAAGTTTTCTAATTTTATTATCGTTTCATTAAGTGCGTTTGTACCTACCTATTGTGCGAAATAAACAGCGTGTGTGTCCTATAATAATACGTCTTTCTGACTCATGTAGGTAACGTTTGACCAACTCTATGTTTAGAGCAGTGGAAATGACAAACGAGTTTTAAATTGATTTACTGGTACCTACAATGCGATTTATATAAAAGCAATTCTAAGCATCAGTGCATAACATCCCTATTCATTTGTGGATTCAGTCGCTCAGAGTTGACATTGATCGCAATCTGTTACATTGTATAGAGTAAAATATTTTGATTGTTCATCTCATTACGGGAATATTCTCTTTCTTTAATTTTTTAAATTACTTCAATATGGGGTTCTTCAAAAAGGGTATATTAAGGTTTTTTCAGGCTCGGCAACGTGCACACATCCCTGATGTTGCAGGCGTTTGTAGGCTACAGTCACTGTACCATCAGACGGGCTGTATGCTTGTTTGCCAGCTTTATGGTATTAAACAATAATAAAAGGTAAAATTTTTTTGTTTATAATAATTCTTTCCATAGACAAGTTTTTTTTTCTATGTTGATCCCATACATTTATCATTATTGAAGTCACTGATATTTTTTAACTTTTTTCTATTTTGAATTTGTTAAAAAAAATAAAAAGCACTTACCTATAATTTTTACTCCCGAATGATAAGTACAAATTAAATAAATCCACACCTTCTTATTGCAATTTTCCTATTTCCTCTCTTCAATAAGTACGTATGTATTATTCATAGATATTGTTTTGTCCGTTTCCTTATTTATTCATCACCTATCATTGCAAATATTGATAAACATATTGTCTAACAACATAGGTGAGTATTGTGCAGTGACACTTGAATTCACTTGAGTAGGTACCTATCACAATTTCATAGTTACGATTATGCGTCGAAAGCCTTATCACATAAAAATCGGAGTTAAAAAACCATCTTAAACGAAAGATTTCCTCTTTAGTAGATACTAGCGACCTGCGCTGACTTCGTTCGGGTAGATAGATAGAAAAATAAATTAGTATTTTATATTCTCTTTAATAGATTAATTTTTGTTACTTTGGATTATATTATCGTATAATTATCGTAATGATCTCTAATTTTTTTTTAAATAATATATATGCTATGTTATCATGATTAATATAGCTTTCCATAGGTAAAAGAATTTATTAAATCCATTAAGTAGTTCTTAAATTTATTCATTACAAACAAATATGCAAAAAACAAATCTTTTTTTCTTTATGATAATAGTAGAGATGTAGATAAGTAATTTGCATAATCAATTCTCTGCGAAAACAGCATAGATAAATAACAAATTTTAATAGCATTAATGGAAGTATTGGCTGAATTTGTTTTACGAATTAGGCAGTAGAAATCCTATAAAAAGATAACACAAAAGTGCTTAAAATGAAGTTTATTTGAATAAAGAGTATTTCTATTTTGTTGCTGAATGATTTTGTTAATACTCGGTTTCGGTCGTTATCATTAGTAAAATCAAGGCCATTTGTTTTTTACAACACAGGGGGCAAACGAGCATGCGGCTCACCTGATGGTAAGTGACTATCGCCGCCCATGATCACCCACAACACCAGCAGCATTGCAGGTGTGCTGCCGGCCTTTTAAAAAGGAATATACTTTTTTCTTGAAGGTTGTGTTGTCGTACCGGTTCGGAAATACTGCTGCTGGAAGTTGATTCCAAAGAATTGTTGTGCGTGGACGCACGCTTTCAAATTTGTTTAATGGATATACCATCTAAGTTTTTTTTTTGCTACAGTCTTCAACCATGTGTTTGGTTTCTTACGTTATGTTTATAGAAGCTGGTCGGAACTTCAAACCTAAGTTTTTTCTAGAAATCTCTGTGTACATAAAGCGTGACGCACAAGCTGTATAAGCATATCAATTCATCAATTTGTTACAGTAGTCTGTACTTAGAACGATACTATGTCATAAACGAAAATAATTACGTTTGTGTAAATGGTTAATTTCAGAGATTAAATTTTACGTTTTTTTTACAATTCTTAGTAATGACATCAACTTTTATATTACTGAAATATCAACAATAAAGCTGTTGGCTTAAGTACTGTGAAGGCCCTTTCTATTATATATATAATACAAAGGGTCCGTTTGTGATTATTTATTTGGCTGAAGGCCCACCTGATAGAAAGTCGTAACCGTTGCCTATACACATGAGCAGTACCATAAACAGAGAATACTGTTTCGCCCATGATACCCCCCATGCATTGCCATTCCTGAGGACTAAGGTTAAGGTTGTTATTCCTCTGTACACTGTAAATTCATTGCCATATCCCACCCTTCAAACCGAAACACAGCCATGCAAACTCAACTGCTTCACGGTAGAAACACGAATGGGACAGTGGTACAAAGCAAATGACTTTTGTACAAAGTCTCCCTCTGCTGTGATTATTGTACATGAATTTGTTGTTGTAAATCTTTATTACGATTATACATCATTTAAAAGATTAAACAGAAGTTGTGGTAACACTTGGCACATTACATTGGCCACCATCATCATAGCTATATTATTGTCCCATTAGTTGGTCGTTGCAATTCTGTTCTATTCTATCGATCCCTTTCAGACCTTGGATCTATTCTTTTTAAATTTAATATACTATTTCAAACTATATACTTATTTTTTCATCTTTCCCTGTCTTTTTATCCTAAATGGAAATGGCGGTCGTATTACAATGGACAACTAAACTATACCCTTTAGGCTTTTCATCATTTT